ATGACTTTTTGTTTTTTTTCTTTATTTATTTAGAGGCTTTCATTCTACGAATATGCCAGCCTCATTCATCGTACCGTAACCAAAACATACACAACTAATTTAACTTAAAACTTTGGAGAGGGCGAGCTATTCTTACTAGCGGAAACCATATCAAACATCGACTTTACTACATCTGAGTTTGGTAGTGCTAATAAAACTTACGTAATAAGGTAAAATTTTGTTTTTTTTTATAGCCAGGTAGGCAAATGGCTCTACACCACCTGATGTTAAGTGGTGATAGAGTCCAAACGCGACGAAAGCTGGTAGAGCCTGGTGCGGAAATAGAATGGGCGTGGCGAAAAACGGAACTCACATTAAGATTTTTATTTGGCAATCAAACCCAGCAATCTGTAAAATATCAAAGTTTTGTATCGATACGGATTTGTTTGTTGTTGTGATTTCTTGCGGTTTTTTGTATTTAATCATGTCTAAAAGGGGTAAAACCTTACAATTACGGTAGAAAAGCACTACAGCGCCCTCCAATCTAAATCCCATTCTCTTTCCGCACAGACTCTACAGCAGTTATACTCGTAAACTGCCACACCAACCATCCTCACCTTGCCGGCCTGCAAAAATGCTTCTTCACACCTCTCTTAAGGGACACCAGATTGTAGGAAGGAGGGAACACGCGTGCGGGCAAAGAATTCCACTTGCGAATAGTACGACAAAAATATGAATCACCAAATTCCCTTGTTCGTGTAGGTATAGTGGTACAATAAGTTTGAAATTAATATTTTATTATTATTATTGATTTTCTGTACATATATTATTAAACTTAGTAATAAATATCGTATCTCTGCAATATATGTGTTCAAAATATTTTATTCTTAGTAAGTCAACGCTAACTATGCATTGCGTAGCGGCTCATAAGGTGAAGGCCTATATGTAGGGTTGCCAACCCTACTATATAATATAATTGTTGCTGCTCTATACCTTAATAACTAAGGGATCAAATACTATACTTCTAAAAAACTATAGTAGGGAAACTAGTATATTATGCTTAAAGCAGAGTTTTGCCAGTAAAAGCTTTCATAAACAACAAAAAACTTAATTATTAAGGTATAGAGCAGCAACAATTAATTCATAAACTATTCGTAAATTAATAAAGTAAAAATGGTACCTACCTAATTTTAAAACTCGATCCAAATATTGTATTAATTACCATTTAATTATATTGCATGTTATGAAAATAAAATAAAAGAAATGGATAATTACATGCCAGACAGAGGCAAAATAGATGAACTATGTTATAATATATTTAAGAACTTATTGTACTCTATTTTTGGTGATTAAATAAAATTCAATTCAACAATTTACTCATTTCAAAAATAAAGTAAATATTTTAACCACATACTATATTTATTTCCATTTTTTGCCATCTACTATATTTTTAAAGGTAACCGTTTCAAAAATACTATATTTGGTAGAAAAAATGTTGGTAACCCTACCTATATGCTGCTGTAAAAAATATCTCTTATCTATTAGACAAGTCCGTCCGTCTGTCTGTGGTGCTGTTTCAGCGGCCAAACCGTAAGAGATAGATAAAGAGAATATTTAAGTTATAAGTTAAGAATAGTCTGATAAGACTACAAACCGGATTTGAGTAACGTAGCACTTCCGGTTTTCGAGAAATCAGGTTTTGGTGAACATTTGGTTCACTGGTTTGCTATTATATGATAAATAACTAACAATCAATGATGTTGAGATGATGTCCATGAAGACATAGTATGTTACACTTGATTGAAGACGTTTCAGAATCTATGTTCTATTAAAAAAATAACATTGTCAAGAAACGTCATAGTCAACCTACATTAATAGAATTTTTACAATGTCGTTTTTTACAAAATTACAGTGAATTCTGAAGATTATACCTACATAATACCTACACTTATATTTGAACTGATTTACAAATATTATTACAGGCAAGTGTTTATATTATTATTATAGTTTAGTTTATTAGCATTTTATTTTAAGATCAATCATAGCAACATTCAGTACCATACAGATTTGACTATTCAAAATTCTCATATTTCTCAGATCGTCTCATTCTCAAAGGCTCGAAGACATCAACCCCATATAGTATTATTACACCCAAAGCTAAGGCCCAAAGGCATTATCTATATAGATAAAACTCAAAGGTGACTGACTGACATAGTGATGTATCAACGCACAGCCCAAACCACGACGGATCGGGCTGAAATTTGGCATGCAGACGTAGGCATCCGCTAAGAAAGGATTTTGATCAATTCTACTCCCAAGGGGATAAAATAGGGAATGAAAGTTTGTATGAAACTTTGTCAATTTTAAACCGATCGGGCTGAGACTTTGCATGCAGATATAAGAAGAATCATAGATGAATGTCATTGTGTATAAAACAAGCCTGAGAACAAAAACGTTAGTCTACACTTCAGCTCTACACCGAAGCGAAGCGAGGGCGAGCCGCTAGTATTCTATAAAAACAGTTCGCGACAGCATAATTATATCCATCTTTTGATATTGAATCACTATAACCTGTTTTTCAAATTAACGCAGGTGAAACCGCAGGGGACCTTTATATTATACCTAAAGATATTTTTTTATTATGTCATTTGAATATTAGCAGCAATCGTCTTCAATTGAATTCTTCTAATTTATTTCCTCCGCTTAATTTATTAATAGAATTGACATTTAGTGCTTGTGACTTACAGAAACAATAAATTAAATCTAATCACCCAGACTATACAATATAATATGTTTAAAAGTTACTATAATATGTATAAAAGTTGTATTCTTGTCAATCAGTCCCACATTTTACCCCACGTGCACTTGTAGTGTTTTAAGTTATCAAATACATACATAAAATAAACTAATTAATGTGTGTGTCATTTTGTCAGCCAAGCGTAGCGTCCTTCGCAATCGCCGAGTTCGTAGGAAAATCTCGGTAGAAAATTCATATTTTTTTAGGGTCCGTGCCTCAAAAGACAAAAACGGGATTTCTATTAAATATAGTATTTTCGAAGCTGTTGCCTCTCAAAATGTGTAGTAGATGGCAAAAAAATATACTACGTGGTTAAAATATTAACTTTATAAAATAAAACTAGTTTTAACGGGTTAATGCACGAAACTTTATTTATTTATTGACGTTTCGCAGCCTTTTCAGTTCTGCTTCATCAAGTTAAAACTAGTTTTTATTTAATGAGTGATGTGCGTGAAAACCTCAGAAACAAATATATTAACTTTTATTATTGAAATGAGTATATTATTGCTGCTCTTTAACTCAATAATTTTATTTTTAAGAAAGCTTATACTGGCTAAAGTTTGCTTTAGGCAAAATAGAGTAGATAGATAGATAGATAAATCATTTATTCCCATCAGTACAGCACACAAATTCAAGTAAACAAATAGAAAAATTAATTACTAGGTATGTAACTGTGTGCCGCAACGACAGAAAAAAGCAAAAACTCAGCGATACCTTTGCTCTAAGAGCAAAGCACTGGTTTTCAGTTCTGCCTAGAAAGCTCGTAACGTGAAACGAGTAGTAGTAGTAGTTTCGCCTACCATATTTTTTTCTTAGAAATTTAGTATTTGTTCCCCAAATATAGTAGGATACTTTATTATATAGTAAGGTTGGCAACCCTACGTAGAAGTATCGTGTACAAATTTAAACCATATGCATTTATTTATTTATGTTTACGGTCCTATGAAACTGTGAAAAAGTCACACTGCTAAATTAACTTAAAAAAAATATACGTCCGTTTATGTTGCGTATCTACAAATTTGTACGGAACCCTCGGTGGGCGAGTTTGACTCGGACTTGTCCTGTTTTTTTTTATATAAAAAAACCGAAATTAAATTGAATGATAAGAACCAGTTTTTTATTATTAGCTCATTACACCATCATTTTAAACAGACGCTAAAGAATATCCGAAGCACAATAGGGGTGATGACGGGGTACAGTAAACGAAATTCTATTTGGTCCGTCCGTTAGATGATCAAAAAATAATGGACACATATTTTTTCTTTGGGCAATCAACCAAAAAATGACAAAGTTATAGCGCGTCAAAGTTTGGGAGTAGGGGCTCGTGACGTCACTTTTGAGTGAAAATTGTACCAAAACGTGACGTCATGCGACTTTTCAAATCAATATATCTCTGCAATGTTTATATTATGTGAAAAAAGAAAAAATACGTGTCCAATACTTTTTGATAATGTACCTGATAAACGAAGAAAAAAAGTCTAAGCTTAAAGTGTGTTTTACAAACACACTGAGAGACATCAATTAATTTTAATGCTTTGCAAATTCATATATTTTGGTTTATATTTCATTGATGTCGCAACGAAGATGACAGTATAAACTTTAATCAAACTTAAACTTTAGTTGCCGCCTCTGAGTGGGATCGTGTGCTTTATTAATAGCCGTTTATGATTATTATATGTATATTTTTTTTCGTTCACACCATTTTATACAATACTGTTTTATTAATAAAGGTTTTATACTCAAATGGGGTTGTTCCGTATTCATCCTATGACGTCACATCTCATTCTTGACTCAACCCTAACTAGTATTCCTAACTCAAACTTTTACATTATTTTAATATTTTTTACTAATTCAACTACTCATCCCAAGGCAAATGTTAGCAAAAAAATAATGGATAAGCTATAGAAGTTGACTCGATAAAATATTCTGACAGCGCCGGTAAATAAATTTTCATAAATAAATAAACTGTGATTACATAACACCAATAAATATTACCTGAAACGCATTTTGTTTCAAAAGATTTCATGGCCAACGCATGGTGATAATTTCTGTGACATAATCCAATGCGAAAAATCAAAAGAAATACTAAGTTTTCTTAAAAAGCTGAATGATTTATTGAATCCACTTTTAAAAATAATCACTATTGACCACAACCTCTCCTGAAAATTTATTTCAAGTTGCTATGCCATTTTGTACTCCAATAACTTAAAGATATGACACTCACCGTAGCGGCGAAGATGATCACGAAACCTTTCATTTCTAGTCTATAGATCACAGGATAGCTCACACGTAACTTTAAAACAAACGACGGCGACGCCTGCGCATCTCATATATACGAACACAGCCTCCGATGACGTCACGCCCCGCACCCCGCTATCACCAAAACCTGTTCGTGCCATCTTCAAACGAAAAACACGTTTCGCGTACATTGCAATTTCTGTTTCGGCATAGAGTACGTCATTTTGGACCAACTACGCAATGCAGCGTAGATGTTTCATATCCTTCTCTACTTATCAACACTTGAGACGTCCATTTGTCTAGGCTCCGTCTGCTATGGTTGTTATAATGTTTTATAAGGACTATTACATGATTTTTCACGGTACATGATAACCAACGATGGGACATCTCAGCCATAAATCACCCACCAGCGTGTTATTCACCCGACTTTTTTTCAAAAAAAACCTTCAACTTTAAAGTGGTTTGAGTATTAAAGGTGCTGTAGCAGGTTTAATATTATCATTTGATTGATGATAGTTTTCAATGCTAATGATGCACACGTGTACTTTATTAGATGAATCCTGCATCCTTAACAGGCGCGGTCGCAGCCTGAACTTTTGGAGGGGGTCACTCGATACACTAATAGAAAATAGGTATCTGGAATAAAATAAACATTATTGCACAAGACACAATATTATTTTATACATTACTAATAAAATATTGTTATACAATCTTTATCATAACAACGCATATCGATTTTGCTAGATAACTAGATGTCATTTCCAAGTTATTTTGGCCATCGTACGTAGTTTATAAAATCATCACTAGATGTCAACAAACTATAAATTTATCGCTGTTAGGGGGTAGGTAGAAATTTCCTTTTATTATTTGCCAAATTTTTGAGAATTGACAATTTCAATTTGACCTTAGATTTGGGGGGGGGGGGTCATGTCCCCCTCCCTTCGGACCGCGCCTGATCCATAATAGCTAAGGAGTTTGTTTCGACGAACTCCGTGGCCGAGTGGTTTGCACGCCGGGTTTCATGGTATCGCCAACTCGAGAGGTCTCGGGTTCAAATCCCGGTGGGGGCAGATGTTTGTGTGATGAATACAAGCATTTGTACTCCAGTCATGGATGTTTAATATGTAGGTATTTCTATAAAAATATATGTATGGATATGTACAGTATAGGTATTCTACCCGTTACCCTTTTTTTATATATAGTGGGAAATGCTTTATGCATACCCAGTAACGATATGGGGCCATTCCTGGGTTATGTGGGACTCCAGGATTCTGATTACCCACTAAAACTTACTGTACTCTTCATGTGCTTATTATCTACTGCACAAGAATTCTATCCGTTACCCTAGTATCCCATAACACAAGCCTTACAGTGCTTACTTTGCAGCTAGGCTAATTGGTGCAAGCGTTAGAAAGATTTATAATATTTATTTATTTATAAGGAGTTTGTTTGTTTGGTTGAACGCGCTAATATCAGAAACTAATAAGACAAGGATAGCCTTGTTCCCCTTTGAGCCTATACAACATCACGCTACGAGACCAGTAGGAGCGAAGCGTCGATGAAAAATGTTGCAAAAACGGGAAAACAAAATTTCAATGAAAGCTTTCCTTGCGTGTGCTACGTAAATGGTTAAAAATCCTATATGAGGAAATTTTCCAGATTAAGAGTTCTATAAAAATATCCGCAACAGCATATATGTCTATCTTTTAAAGGTTAACCGATGTCCAGTCAATGCACGGTTTTCCCTAGCAATTCTACCAAACAACACTGATTAGCACCAAAATTTGGCTGTAGGTTCTACTTACCCTCTACTTTAATAGTGACCAGGGTTACTTTTACCCTGTGGGTGGACGTCACTCCATCTCAGGGATGAAAAATAATACAAAAATCTAAATACTGGGTTTTAAATATCACTAAGCCCGATATTAACGGAGTACTAGCTTGATATAGGTTGGTTCTTCGTCAAACGCCATAATAGAAAGCTTCATCGTGAAATATCTAATAAACAATGCATTTTTTGGAAAAAGCTCAACATTGTTTGTTTAAAAAATATTTTTCCGCTCTGGAATAAGTCTAAAACTATTTATTTTCAGTAAAAACTTTTGTGAACAAAAGTTGCTTAAATTGGTCATTATATTTCCATCCCCACATTTATTAAATTATTCCATTACCTATTTTTAATAAGAAAAATCATCCCCTTGCAGGGGTGTCGTCCACACCCAGGTAAATATAAACACTGCACATTAACGAATTTGTAGTAAAGAAAGGAGAAGAAGAGGGTGAAGGAAGGAGGATAAATAAAATCCATATACAAGTTATAGACTAAATTGGTGCTGCTTGGCAGAATTGGCAGGTCTTCCCGTTTTTTTCTGTTAGTGGACTAACAACCTTTTTCCTCAAATTGCGGGTGACACCGCGGGGCACCTCGAGAGTATCATAATATACAAAAGTTACTTAGTTACAAAGACTGACTGACATAGTGATCTATCAAAGCACAGACCAAACCACTGGACGGATCGGGCTGAAATTTGGCATGCAGGTAGATTTTATGACGTAGGCATCCGCTAAGAAAGGATTTTGATCAATTCCACCCCCAAGGGGATAAAATAGGGAATGAAAGTTTGTATGAAACTTTGTCAATTTTAAACCGATCGGGCTGAGACTTTGCATGCAGGTATAAGAAGAATCATAGACGAATGTCATTGTGTATAATACAAGCCTGAGAACAAAAACTGTAGTCTACACTTCAGCTCTACACCGAAGCGAAGCGAGGGCGGGCCGCTAGTCCACAATAAAACACATCACTACTTATAGAACAGTCATTGAGTCTTCCTCTTTAGATTTCATATAGTCTTTAAGTTTCTAAAACCAAAGTATTGGCATCACATTTTTAAAAAAGATTAGATATTTTAAAAGTTGTATAAAGTTTCGAGTTTGTGTCATTCCCTGTAGCTCCGGGTCAATGAAACTTGCTGCTCGTGTTATTATCTCGGCTCTGGGTGTTTGTGATATCATAACAATGTAAATCTGATATTCCCAACAGTGCTTTAAAATATATTAATAATAATAAATACAATCGGATTTTTCCCTTTGTGACTATTGAACAATACACTTTTTTATGTTAAAAGGGTGGCTAAATAGCATGTGATCCCCCTGAGGGTAAGCAGACACCAAAGCCTATAAGACGCTTGCGATTAAAAAAAAAATTTCTCCCGCCGTTGCCTACCCCTAATAGGATCTGCACACTTTCATTTTTTATTCCCAAGTATTGTAGAAGGTATATTATGATTTAATATTTTTTTATTAATATCCTGATAAAAAAAACTTCACATATTATCTTATTATTAAAAAAAATACCCCGTGGAGCCCTTGAACCTTGCTCACCGACAGAAAAAAGCAACACTACCAAAAAGTAGCTTGGTGTGGTCTTCCTTTAGGTAGCAGAGATTACTTCCACAGACTGGCGCTCCAATTCCAGCGGAATATCAGCTAAGCCCAACCTTACTTAAATCAAACCATTATCCCAATTTCAAATAGAGAGAGAGCGTTTATTGTTTCTGCATACAATACTTATCTTCTTCTATACTTATAATAAATCTGTAGAGAGGTCAATTCTGTACATGAAATATATTTTCAAAATAACTATCAGGGTGTGATTAGTGATCGATACTGATGCCAAAAATGCAATCAGTAAAATTTTTGTCTGTCTGTCTGTCTGTCTGTGTGTATGTTCCTTATAGAAACAAAAACTACTCGACGGATTTTAACGAAACTTGGTACAATTATTCTTCATACTCCTGGGCAGGTTATAGTATACTTTTCATCACGCTACAATCAATAGGAGCAGAGTAGTGAAGGGAAATGTTGGGAAAACGGGAGAAGTTACTCCATTTTTTAAGCTTCCGTCGCGTGCGCAGCCTTAATGGTTAAAGTTATATAGAAATCATGTATGACGGAAATATTCTACATAAAATTGTCTAAAAAATATCCTGCAACAGCATACGTCTATGGTTTACTCACAATAATACGTGTAACTCCTGATAGCTTAGCAGTTCGGAGCATTCTGATTATATTTGTTTACTCTTACGTTTATAATACTCTCACTCATCCCTAATTTAAAAAAGTTAACATTATTACCTATTCAATAAAAAAATAATCATTAAAAAAGAATTAAATAAAAAAATCCATTGTGTACAATACACGCCTGAGAACAAAATCTATACTCTACACTACAGCTCTACACCGAAGCGAAGCGAGGGCGGGCCACTAGTATTTACATAAAAACAAAACGATAGCGCGATTCAATAGACTATTCCTGCCATCTAGTTTACAAAATGTTAATCTGATTCTAAACACACTCTGCTAAATCATTTTAGGGTAAAGCATAATTAATTGGACCCTTCATACTTTTTACTTCCTAAAACGTTAATTATATCCATGACATCATAATTGCGTATCACTACACCTCTTGACCGGTAAATCACTGTGAGTCATCGTTAAGAAGATGATACACAAAATAATATCGTACAAGTTAATAATAATAATATAATAAACGTCATATTGTTAAAATATACCTGCTATACTGCGCAAAACCTTTTGTTTTTTAAGCAGGTTTTTGTTAGATACTTACGTCTGACTTAAGTTATTTAAAAATGATATATCTATCTATAATACTACTCTTTAGCCTGGTAACTTTATTAGTCGTGTGGAATTTACGTAATTAGACTATTAAAGATTTTTTGCAACTCTTAAATCCTCTTTCAAAGTGTGCATTGTCATGATTCGTGATAGTTGATTTTATTCAACCTTCTAGTTAATTTCAAGAAATATTTTAGTTATTAATAAATTACTGCCGTGTCGCAACTTTTAAAACATATTTAGCTAAGGTAGATGAGCATTGCAAGACCCCGTTTTTGGCATTATTGAAATAAATAAATAAATCTAAATATCACTAGTTTCTTTGTAAACAAAATCATCATACAAATCAACATATTTGATAACAATTGCTTTAAAAAATAAATTGCTTTGAAAATACCTCTATAGTGCGTATTTTTAT